TTTTTTTTTTTCAATGCCATCCTCATGGCCATTCATTAGCCTAGTGCAGGCATATAAGGAAAGTTTTCCTCACTGCCGGATTCAGCAATGTGTTGTAGCTACACTGTGTAAGGCGAGCTTGCCAAAAGAGGCTGGTGGAGGAGTGCTGCGTGACTCTGCAGACGTTCTGGGAATCCTCCCACACTTACCTACTGCATAAACAAATATTGTTGTCAAGCTTCATATAAGAACTAAACTTGGAATTCTTGGAAAACAATTCATACTAATTCCTTACATGTTCCTTTCTTCCTGGAATCCTAGTCTTTGATCATTGTCACCTGTGTGCAGTTCTCTGCAAAGCCTGCCACAGTATTTTTACATTCGTAGCATCAACAGCAATATCTCCCCTCTTCTACAATCTACCATGTAGTAGGCCCCAGTGGAATTAGCACGATGAAAATCAGTATTTCTCAAGATACAATCCCAAAGAAAAAAATCTGTTTTGAAGTACTTTGGTGTGAGTGTAAGTTTCTTAAGTTTCCTTAGTTGGTTTCCTCGTGCACAAAACAGGATTGAAAAATAGAGGTTAGTTGTCTTTTGTCTTTATCTCTGTTAAATGCGGCTGGTTTGTTGTCTCTGAGGTGCAGTGATGGGCATGACTAGCATGTATTCAATGGGCAGCCCGAGAGACACCATGGAAACATCCTGTGGAAATCTCAGCACTCACACATATGTAGGATACCTGGTGTTATCTGCATGGTAGAAAATGAGGCAGGTGTTATATTTGTACTATGAAAACAGCACCTGGAATGGTGGAGCAGGCCCAGTTACAGAATCTAAGCTACAAAATATGCTTACAAATATCAGCTTTTACACACATGGAAGTGGGTATCTGAGCAGTGTGTGTGTAGGCAGAGTGTACAGATGAACTATCTAGGATTTAGGTAGCCTGGAGGAGGCCAGAGCTCCCAATCTCATTTCATCTATAACCTTGAACTTTCAGTGTGATTTCTTTTTTATTTAAAAGGGGAAAATAATGATTTCTCTTTAAATATCATTAAATTATGGAGATAATGTAAGAGTATGAAAATGATTCATAATCTAAAATGGAGCATGGAATGAGAAGCACTGTTACTCAAAGTTTGTACACATATAAACACACACACACACACACACACACACACACACACACACGTGCACGTGCACGTGGGGGGTGGAGAAATAACAAATGTCATCAGTGCCCTGCTAGAAATCCTCAAAGAAGGGGTGTCTAAATCAGCGCTTTAAGACAGAGTGAATGCTCTTCTGAACACCACCTAGGTCACGGAATAGAACTTTGTCCAGTGTTCCGGAAACCCCTCTATGTGCTCCACTCCAGCCACAACTCACAGTCTCTCCCACAGGCAGCTCCTCTGCTTTTACAGCAATTACTCAATGGTGTTGCTTCATAGCTTTATCGGCCAAGTGTACAGCATTAGACACAGCCATCACGTCTTACCGGTTTTTAAAAGCAGTGCTTTTCAAGTTTCTACTAATATACCAGTGCCCTCCTCCATTTCTTTCTCATCCTTCCAATTCTGTTGAAGAATCAAAATATTTTACCCTGGAAGTTTCAAAGAGCCTGCATTTGGTGTTCCCACTCTTCGGAGTCATTGTGGTTTGCTCACCGTTTTCCTTTCTAATCAGTATTTAGCTAAGTGCAGACATTTAGAATGCTTACGAATGTGGCAAGATTACATGTCAGAGACTGGGGAGATGGTTCAGTCAGGAACATGCTTGTCTTGCAAGCATGAAAAAATGAAAAAGCTGGGCATAGTGACTGCCCCTTCTTGGGGAAATGGAGATAGGAGGGTACTGTGGGCCTCCTTATCCAGCCAGCCTTGCTACTTGGTGAGTTCTAGGTCAATGATATACTGTCTGAAAATAAAGAAAGGTGAGTGACAGCTGGGGAAAAACTGGAGACTATTCTCTAATTTACATATGTGTGCATGCACATGCATACACACACACAACACATACACAAGCATACAGTTTGTGGGTTCTTCTAATTTGTGTCTGAGGGTCTTTCCTGGATGTTATAAGCCACTGATATCCAGTTCCTGAATGTTTTTGGTTCAGAAGAAATCCTAAAACAGTAATATTATTTTTTTCCTATATTTAGCAGCAATGCTTCACAAAGAGATATTCTCTTGTATGCATCCATCTTCGGCCTTCAGGCTCATAGTATCCAGCAGACTTTTCCATGAAGCAGGAAAATTTAAAGACAGTTTAGTCACTTTTATCTGTATCATGCAGAGTGTCTCCCAGACTCTTTCATTAAGCAGGAATCCCAAAAGACCATCTCATCTTTAGCCAAGTTCAGCAGTCCTCTCTCTGTGGGTTTTTCATGTCCAGTTTATACAACAGTCCAGACAAGAGCAGTTTTTTGTCCAAATGGCTAACCAACTCTATAAGGAGCCTCTTTGATGCCCATCTTCCTCAGGAAGTAGTTTGGTGCTGCCAGAAGCAGATGTGTCTCATTGTCATGAAAAGTCCTAAGTTATTGAAACATTTTAGATGTCATATTCTGTAGTCTTTGAAAGATATGAAGAATGCCTATCTGAAATATATCTATGCACATCTAGAAAATCTAACTAACATGACTACAAACTTGACTCTTATAGATGATTACCTATTAACCTATATTTCCTAATTATACATTACATTTTTAAATGAACTACACAATCACAATACCTTAATCAAGAGCAGAAATATACATATGACAAGATTGACCTTAAATTTATACCAATAAAGCAAAATCCATACCAATGCAAACTATTCATATCTATATCATATCCTCCTTTAACTGTAAAAGAACATTCATAAACAATATTTGGGAATATGGGTACTCCTACTACATTTTGCTTCTGTATTTATGTGCAACATATATTGTCTCTTTCACTTTTTTTGTCATAATTACAATGTTGACTATTTTGTTACTTGTATGTTTCCTTTAGTTTATTTTTTCATTTCAGAAATAATTTTACATCAGTTTAAATTCACATGACCTTCATATTACCTCATTTCCAAAGTTCTAACTCAGTTCATAGAATTCTATTTTGTTTTATGGTCCAGTTTAACACTGATTTATTAACTCATTTGTGATTCTGGGCACATTGTTTCTACCATGATTTCTTTTTATGTAGGGATGTTGCTCTTTATCATATATTGTTTAACAGGTTGGATATTGTTTCACTTCAGCATCTTTGTGATGCTCATTGTTTCCTCAGAAGATAACTGCCGACTGGTGTTTTTGTCAAAAACACAACCATATTACAACTTGATTTTTTGTTTGCAGTATTCCAGGTGCCAATCTGTTCTTGGAGGCTGCTTATTCAGTCCTGGCTACCCATTTTTCATGTTGTCCATTTTCCTGACTGCTCAGAACTGAAATAATCACCAACAAACTATACTATTTGCAATACTTTTTGGCCAATAGCTTAAACATATTGTTAGCTAGCTCTTATGTCTAGAATTAACCCATTTCCATTATTTTATATTTCAGCATGAGGCTTTGGCCTACCAGCAAGGTTCCAGCTGGCAACTCGTGTCTTTTCCCTCTGACAGCTCCAGGGCAGCTCCTGACCCTTCCGTCTTTCTCCCAGCATTTAGTTTAGTTCCCCACCCCACCTAGCTCTACTCTATGCTATCACAAGCCAAGGCAGTTTTCTTCATTCATTTAACCAATAAAAGCAGCACATATACAGAAGGACTTCCCACATCATTTTGTTATCATCCTGTTTATCTAGAGTTTTGCTTTCATTCACTCATTTTAAAAATTTGAATGTCTTTTCATTTAACTATTCTTTTTTTTCTATTTTTGCCAGCCTCCTTTTAAGTTTTATTCTTTTAAGTTTCTATCCATTAGTTTCTCATTGTGTGCCTTCCTGAAAGAACTTCAGCTGATTTACATTCTCAAGTTCATGTGCCCCAGATTTCTCTCAAAAACTACTGAGTGCCTTGCAATAAGCAGAAATCTGGAGCAGGCTCATGAAATTTCTGCTCACCCTACCTATACAGAGACTTTGAAGATGTGATGACAGTTACAATCAATTAACCTCAAACTTGTGAAGATTACTTTGAATTATCAATATGGACAGAAATCTCACACCAAAGCCAATCTGGATAGAAGTTTCTCAAAGTTGAGTTTCATAAGCCTCTCCCTGGTGCTTTGGAAGGTGGAAAAAAAAAGTCAGTAGCAAGGGATATGAGCAGTTTCAGAAGGTGACAGTGAGCCCTGGCCAGTAGCCAGTAAGGAAGTGGGGACTTCATTAGAACAACTGCATGAAATTCTGCCAATAAAGTGAACAAGATTAGAGGCACACCCACCCGAAGAGCTTCCACAGGGTGGTCCAGTCCCAGTGACACTTTGGTTTTGGTCTTCTAGCCTTGGAACAGAAGAGTTATCTAAGGCCACAGGATTCTTAGCCTACACACTTGTGAAATAATTTTTGAGTATTTGAAGGACAGTAAATTAGTGATAAGTTACAACAGCAAGGGAGACTCATACAGAATGCCGGCAAGATGGCTCAGTGGAAGAAGGCACTGGACACCAATCCTAATTTAACCTTTATTCTTGAGACTCAGGATGTGAGGGGGACATCAGTCCATGAGCACATCCACATATCCACCCACCCACTCCCACACAAAAGAGGAATTAATGTAATTAAATTTTTTTAAAAAGAAAATATACAAATATTAAGGTCCTAACTTGTTACAGGCCCGTTGTCCTTTAAAATTAACACTATTGGCCATTTGTGGATTCTCCTCTCCTTCAAGCATTTCATGACTTTCTTCTGCTTCTTCTCATTTTGGCACTGGTACAATCCAGATGGTAGCAATAGGGAATTTGTCCCCAGCATTTGTCTTTTGCAGTTCATGGGAATAAACTATAAATTAGCTTTGTTGACAATGCTAAACATACATTTATATTCCGGGATTCCTTTCTTCATTTCATATTCAATTTCAGAAAGATTAGAAGTCGTACTGCCACAATCTTCCTCGAACAATTCAGTCTTCCTGCTCATACTTGCCTGTGACTCTGACCTAAACGCAACCTTTTATAAACACTGTATAATTAACCTCATCTGACCTGTGCCTGCCAGGAATAGTTTACTTCATTTCCCTCAGCACTTTGGAACCTCATTGCCACACATTTGATGTGGATGTGAGCCTAGGCTACTGTGAAAATGGCATTTGATTTCTCAGTAGAGGTGAGTGATACTTATTCCTGTGCCGGGAATAAGGCCATGTTTATTGGATTTTATTGACACCCAGCAAGCATTTTACCCATTAGATGAAGCCTAATGGTCTCACACAGATAATACTATAATGAGAAAATGTAGGTGAATTCCAAGACAATCGGCTTAGAAAACGTTATAAATGATGGAAATGTGGTGAATGAATAAGATTATAAATACACAAAAATGTCACACAATCCTTAAAAGCCTGAAACAATTAGAGGTAAGAGTATTGAGTGGATGAAGATTTTAGCTGAGGGAAATTACTTTGTCTCAAGTACAAAAGCCAGTGTCCAGCCCCTGCTATGCCACTGATTTTACAAAGGATAAAGAGAATTTGGGCTGAAGAGTCGGCTCGGCAGGACAAAGTGCTTGCCAAACAACTATCTGCAAAACCCCAGAAGTCTCATAAAAGTCAGACATGACAGTTCACATCTGTAATTCCAGAGTCCCAGAGGGAGACTGGAGGTCAATAAAGGACACACCCCAGAAGCCCATGGAGCACCTAGCCTGCTCAGCAAACAGCAAAGAGGGACCCTAGTCTCAAATGAGGTGAAAGACAAGGACTCACGCCTAAAGTTTCCTGAAGTTAGTCCCAGACCTCCAGAGTCACATAGCATATGCCTACTTTCACACACAATAATGAACACACATACATTACACACACACAAACACGTACACACTACATAGAAAGAATATCAAATTAATAATAACTATTAAAACTGTATACTCTTCTTGTAACATACTACAATGGTTTGAATTTGAAATGTTATCTACAGATTCTTTGTGCAATGTTTGGTCCCCACCTGATAGTACTATTTTGAGACATCCTAAAACTTTAGGAGTCATTGCCTCGCTGTGAGTTATAATTGCCTTGGTGCATGTGTTTGAAGGTTGCATTCGGTCTCTCATCCCTTCCCATTCTCTCTGTGTCATCTGTGCCACGAAGTGCACAGCCTCTTCCAGCACTCGCCCCCACTGCTGTGATGTCTGCCTTGTGACGGAGCCAGAATTAGTGGAGTCAAAGACTGAACTGCAACCTCTAAACCTGGGAGCCCAGGAGCAGAGTACGCAACTGTGCAAAAGCAACTAACAGACTCGCTGAGGATGTGGTCTGTTTGTAGGTGGTGAAGGTTGCTAATATGCACGTGTGTATATTGTCAGCCAACTTTCCATTCCTATAATAAAATATCGAAGATGATCAACAGATAACGAGATAAAATCTGCTTGGACTCATAGGTTTGAAGGCTCCATGGTGTGATTGCTGTGGCCTTAGATCTGTAATGAGTCAGCATATCGCAGTGATAACTAACAGAGCAAAGTCATTTCATTCAATGGGAGGATACAGAGAACAGAGGCTGAGTTCCCATCACACGTTCCTAACAAAAGCACGC